GCTGCACGCTGTTAGAAAATATATTTTTTGGAGAAGTCACCTCCCAATAAATGTCATTTTGGAAAATCTAACTGCTCACCTTTTCTCAGTACTTTTACTTTTAATACTTAAGTAGATTTGGTGTCAGAAATTTACTTTTGATACTTAAGTACAAAAAATATCAGATACTTTAAGACTTTTACTCAAGTAATATTTTTAGAGAAGACTTTAACTTTTACCAAAGTATTTTTATGATAAGGTACTTGTGCTTTTACCCAAGTATCACTTTGAGGTACTTTATACAACACTGCACTGAACAGTATCTGTATCACACAGGAGGAAATACAGTGTTTTGAGTAGATATAAATCAAATAAATAGTTCAGCAGATTTAATTTGGCTAATAACTTAAAATAAATAAATAAATCACTCTTGATATAAAAAAATAAAACAGGGAAAGCTTGCCCTCGTCAGAATACTTTCAGAAATTGTGAACTGTCCATCAGCTTTGTGTAAAGGAACATTATATCAACAKAAATAGTTTGAATTAAAGATCTCTGCCCCCTTCTGCTGTTCATAATTTAACCTGACAATAACCAGCATTTTTATTTTTAATCAGAATCTCTCATTTGTTTAAATGGACTTAAATGTAATTTTACTGCAATCTTACAGCATTTACTCAAGCTGTTTTAGCTTCAACTTCTGCCTGCAACTCCAGTGTCTAGTTATTGAGTTTTCAATGAAACATTCTTAGAAAACACTTCCTAACCACAAGAGTCCATCCAGTTCTATCTGATGTTTTACCTCGGTGGAGACTGTCTGGTGTAAGGGGAGGAGCTGGATCTGTGGGCGGTGCTGCGATTCATAAAAGACATGCCCAGGAGACGAGCTGAAGACTCACAGTCCTCTTCTTCATCATCCATGTCATGTTCTCCCAGGCCACGCACCAGTAATCGTGAGCTWCGAGGCTCAAAGCCCACCTCATCAGGGTCAAGAGGAGGAAATGTCTGAAGAGAGAGAAAGTATCCAAACCACTCTGTTATTAAATCTGCAGCATTTGACACTTGYCTAAAAATAAATCGCCTTCCCAGTTAATTGAATTAGTGCAGGGTTGTTGTTTATATTCGGCCGCTGTCTTCTGCAGGGGTCGCCACAGCAAGAGAATAATATATACACTTTTTTTTTTTTTTTTACCAGCACCTGAATAAATTAGTGTTGGTTGATTAAAAATATATTGTAATATTTTAATTGTTTATATTAGCAGCATTTGAAACAGGCTTACTGGAAACGAGGAGTCTTTGGCTAAATCAACAACTTCGGGCTCTTCTTCGAACATGCTGTTCTCAATCATGTTCCTCGGCAGGTTGGCGCGCTCTGTGGTGCACACAGAAAACAAAATCACTGAGTTCAATCATGATATAGACATATGCATTAATAGAATATAAATTATTAATTACACTGAAAGAAATGGGAGTCACGAATGTTAGCATAGGTGCAGAGATTTTAAAAGTTTCTTTCAAAACAAAATGAACAAGATACCAGTCAATAAAAAAGGTTTGGTGTGGCCACAGAAATGGGGTAAACACAAAATCTAAAAATAAATAAATAAACAAAAAAAAAACACACAACAGTGACTGTGTTTTTGCAGTTTCCTGTTCACCCGTGTCCTAGTTTTCTTTATGTGGCAAAATGACCTAAAAAATAAACTGGGTTGTGTAAAACATTTCAGTACTCATCTAACTAAATGGTAATCATTGAAACGTTCCTCTTTCTTTCAAATAGCATGAGTTCATTTATTAAAACAAAATCCAGCAGCTGAAGAACTCCTTTGAGATTAAGAAAAGGTCTGTGCATAAAAATATACCGGTACTAGTCTTCTGTTCCGGTACTGTCATGTGCTGCTGCAGTATAGAAATGTCCCCACTTCCTGTAGCTAACATGCAAATTCAGCAGAACAACAAGAATAATGTCCTGTTTCACTTAATTCGTTTCATTTTCAGGCAGMCAGATTTTTTTCCCCCTCTGTAATTTTAGAAACAATCAGAGGCCTGTTCTGTTTCCTAATTCAATAACTTCAGTAGTAAAATGCTGTGTGTCTCCCATACTGCTTCACAATCCATACGCGTTTTTACACACGATGAGCACACAATTATTTGCTTAAATATTTCATGGGTTTGAATGGAAAGTAGAGACAGTAGTACATTCACTGAAGGTTTATGGTTTACCAAACAATGACAACAAAGCTCTAACTCCTTAAAACATATCAACAGCCAAGAAATGTGAATCGTKTGACGTAWGTTGGTCTTTGTCAGCTCCAGTGTTTCTTCCATGACTGCAGCACTGCCTCACTGTCTGAACCACACTGATGAGGTACGGATGTATATTAATAGACAGGAAGCCTATAGTTAGGTGCTGAGTAATGTCCTGAAGAGTTTATGATAAAAATAAAAATTTGAAAGTTAGACCGCCACTTGTAGCATATGAGGTTCGTCGTCCTATCATGGTGATAGATAAGTTATATAAGCAAATGACTGTTTGGATGAAACTGGTTGAGATGATAACATGTCATGCAAATATTATTGCAAAGGCTGCAATAAAAGATGCGGCCTTCAGGCKCTGCTGTTTAATTACTCAAAACATTGAATAACTTCTGGTCAAATGTATGTTTGACTCTGACAGGTGTGTTCATTTATTCAGCCCAAGTGTAAACACAAAACGCACACAGTATATGGCTACAATTATTTAGGTGTTGGTGGTCTGTAAATTACTAAATGAGTTTTGTTTCCAAATGGTTATCTGACCAAAATATGATTGCAAATTTCAAGTTAGGTTATATACTGAAATATCACAAAGTCACATCCAAGAATGTTCACTCACACAAAAAGAGGAAGTCATATTGCAGTGATTTGAATTCATTTTCAGCTTGAAATTAAAGCCCATATCCCTGCATTACTACTAACAGTAGTTTATAAACTATTTATATCAATATCAGATTTGTAGAATCAAACTACCAGGCTTTAACTGTGTAAACATTTGCTGAAAAATAAATGCTGTTCTGTTTTTTTTTTTACTTTCAGTTTGAACAGAGTAAAAACCAACACCAGTTTAAATTAAACCCAGATTTGTTGCAGAGTTTAAACGTAATCTATTATAATTATTCTTAAACAATTAGCCTCACAGATAACTTTGTTTTGCTTGCAGAAAAATAGGATATCAATAAAAGCACCCCTCGTGTTACTGTGTGACTGTGTTGATAAATATTAGCTGGCCTGCTGCTGTTAGCTTGATCTACCCGTCCTTACCTGTGCTGTTATTATCGAACAGATCCATATTTAATGAACCTTAAAGACTCCTTCGCGTCCAAAAAAGATGAGGAAGYCTCTGAACGTTCAAGGACSTTCAGCAGACGTGATGTTTTTGGTTCTTGCCCACAATCCTCCGCAGGGTCACARTAAATAGCAGCCTATCCCTACTTGAACAACCCGTTTGCTAACTACGTAGGAGCTAGCTCGGGACTAGCCAACTTCTGTCAGTCTGACTGAGCTACATTCAGTCAGCCAGCGTCTGAATATAAATATAACTTCATTAGTCGTAGCTGTTTTTCAGAAAAACTAAAACTCAAAGTCTATACCCTGAGCCAACTAAAGACGTGAATATAACCCTTATTTCAATGCGCAGCACAAASGAAAACAAAATCCAATAACACTTTTCTCCGCTCTCCACAGACCAGTTGTTCGCAGCGTCCAGCGTGACAGCGTCAGAGAGATGCTAATATCTGATTGGATGTGAAAGAAAAGAGGCGGGGCCAGCACGACAGACGCGCATCAACACCATCAAATCTCGGGGCAAAAAGCTTTAATACGCGCTCCAAGTTAGCAGAACATCCCAAAATATATAGCAAAATTAAACACTTTTGTAATATAGATATGCAAATTCGTTAAAAATATATAAAAATTGTTTCAATATCAAACACATAATCAAACAATCTGATTCTCTATTGCAGCCTATAGGCATAAACTCTTTGCCAAGCTGGATTGGGACATGACATTTCATTTCTTTACGTTTCTATTTATTTTTATTTTTACAAATATGGTATATCCATAGCTTTATAAACAACACAATAAATACATGTAAGTGCTGGCCAAGGAAGCAGTCATGTAATTGTACTTGTAAATTTCTGCACAATACACAAAAATACAAAGAGGTACAACAAATACCTTTATTGTGTAAAGTGTCCATCAATACACTCATTGTGTCACTTCAAATGGATCTTACACATTCACACATAAAAACAACACAGTGTTCATACACACAGCCTGTCACTCATTCTGTAATAATAATAATTACCGTACTTACATGTCTAACCCTAACCCTCAAATCACATCTTTAAACTAACCCATGACCCAAAATTACATTATACCTAATTATGACTGGGCTTTGGTCCCCATGAGAACTACTGGACCTGACAAGGAAGGTGATCATACCAAAAAAGGTCATAAAAACTGACAAAAACCACACATACACACACACACCAACACACTTCAATCAATCCTTCTTGTTACACAGGCCAGAATCTATCAGTTTGTTAAAATTTCATCTGCTCATTCAGCCACTTTCTCAGAGTTTCTACGTTTCTCTGGACCCAGCGTATATTTTTCTTCACATTGTCCAAAGCCATCTGTGTTGCTCTCAKCTGAGAAGCTTGTTCTCTAATGGACTCAAAAAATAACTGCACCTGTGGGAAAAACACACACACACATTTATAAAAACATAAAATGCGTCAAAATTAATTCCGATTTTTATTTATTTATTTATTTATTTATTTATTTATTTATTTATTTATTTATTTATTTATTTATTGTTAATGTATGAATACATGTCTAATGTAGTTTCATTTCAAGATAAACGGTTAAAAAGTTTGAAGATTTACTTCACTGAGCTCTTCTGGGGATGAAAACTGGCCTGTGGTCCCAACGATGATGTTTCTGATACAAAATGAGCCTAACTGGAACCTGCAGTAAAGAAAGAAAGATGACTAAAAGAAATACATGAGGCATTAATTCAAATGTTTTCTCAAGACTGGACTGAGGTCTCTGTAAAACTAAGTTGCACTGGTTGTATCAATAAAAGTTGATTGTGTTTCATGATTTAGTATAAGGTATTTGCTGCATGTCATATACTAACTTTTGAACTAGTGTATCCCAGTTCTTCTTGACAAAATTCCATGCAAGATAATGTCCACGCGGGTTCCTGGCCACCATCAGGACGAGAGAGGACAGGTCCTGTGATCGGATCACCTTCCCCTCCAGACCCAGTGCCAGCAGTCTGCAGCACAAACACACCATGYTACATCTACGACACCTAACATGGATTCACTCAGCATTTTAAAAACTGAAATTAGGACAATAATTCATGTTAACCAGAAGATGGCAGCAGTAGCTGCGTGAACATAAATCCTAGACGCACCTTTGCAGTTTGCTTGTGTCTCTGCTGCTGGTCAAAGCAAACAGGATCTTGTGTTTTTGTGCTTCAGAGAGAGAAATGTTGTAAAGATGTAAAAGTGACATCCAGCCGTGCTCATCCTGAGCTCCCACTGAGTACACCGTCTCCACCACATCAGTAGGCAGGCTACAGTAAGCACATGTAAGACACACGTTATTTGTACTATAATGATGGCTGTTAATGATAGATATATACAGTATTACAGTTGATCATTTTGACWAACTTGAATGTCTTGTTGGACTGAAGCCAGTCTTTGAAGAGCTGATCTGCACGCTCCAGACAGGGAAGGTAGTCCAGGTGACAGGCCAGAGACAGGACCTCTGACCTCAGACGTCGCTCTGACACAGTGCCGCTGTCGCTCCAGGTCTGCTGGTCGATGACGTCACGGAAAAAGTGCAAGATGTACTTCTGCATGGAGACGCACAGAGAAATAAAATAAAGATCATTTCATGACAGCATACACAATCAAATAACATTTTTTGTGTTTGTTTTGTGTTTGCTTACTCCCAGGTTGTGAGTTAAACTGGGTTCGTCTCTTTTTTCAACTATGCGATAAAAAACCTCCAGATATGCAAGTCCTTCAAGGAGAGGGACYGTGTGTTTTTCCAGCTGAAGATAACCAATCAGGTCCAAGGCTTTGTCAAGTGAAAGATGACCTGCCCTTTAAAAATAAAATATAAATAAATGTGTTAAATCCATAGCTGTGTTTTACAAGCAGACAGAAACATCTCTCGTTATCTCATTTATTCTTACGTGACCAGCTGAAATGCGTTGTGTATCAASTGAGTTCTGTCCTTGTAGCTCAGAGCTGTGTGGTTTTCCCTCAGCAGCTGAGTCAGCACATCCCAACCACCATCGGCATAATGAACCACGTAATATCCCGTCATATCAGAGTTTATTTTCACCCAGCCGACATCCTCTCCAATGTAAATACTGTCTAAATAAAACAAAATGACAGAATGGTAATAAGTTATGAGRRGTGTGAGCAAAATAGTTTCTCAGTKTTTACCTGTTTGTGACATCATCAGGTGTCTGTGGATGGTGCTGGAAGCATCTGTCTTGTACGTCAGAGGAATGTGCCAAAGGAAACTAGGCGAAAGGCAAAAAGATAATGATTTAAAATACACCCAAAATGTGAAACTTATATAAAATGATACAGTATTTGTAAGTTACCCCTTTTGCACCAAGGTCCACTCAGGATCAGATGGAAGAACGGTCCTCAAGAACCGGTCCTGCCTGAGCTGCAGTCGAGGCCCACTCCTCGTTACTGTTACCAGAGGGATACCTTTCTGCAGAGTCCATGAGTTCATCATGGCTGTCAGGTCCAGATGTTCTCCTGCAAACAGATACTGCAGGAGAAAGGACATTATATGTTTAATATGTTCACGACATTTTAAAWTGTGTGACATCAGGTCCGACCTGTTTCAGTTTTTACTCACTGCATTCTTGGAGGCCTGGCTGCTGCTGTAACAGTGTTTTCCTGAGATGAAGTCTTCCTCAGAGCATGTCTGAAATAAAAATAAAAACGCACAAAATGCAATTTTCTCACATGTTTTCATTTACAGTCTAAACATTTTCATGAAGCAGTTTTTCCCCAAAATGTTTCTTCAGAAATGCAAAGAGAAGTAACGAAGGAGCATACAGTGTCTTACATTGGTGAGACTGTCCCACAGGTTCTGATTGTGAGCGTTTCCAAAGCTGTACTTGCGAAGATATCGCACTATTCCTCTCTGAAACACGTCTTCTGTCAGGAAGTGACGTAGCATGTGCAGGACACATGCTCCCTGAGAAAAGGAAGAGGAGAGGTGTGTGTGAGCAGGTAAACATGAGCAGTCAGGTCTGGAAYAAAATGGATTCAGGTATGAAAAATGTATCATTAACAGTAATTTTACTGTCTGTTTTTCAGTATTTTCAAGTTTAGATAAAACAAATAGGTTTCAAAAAAGTTGTTTTTGCAGGTATTCAACCACAGTCAGTTACTACTATCAGCTATTAATGAAAAGGCTGAATTTTTACTTTGTCATAGGAGACAGTGTCAAACATTTCTTTAATCTGGGTGGGGTTCTCTGCTGGGCTTGATATAGGCCTCGAGGAATTCAAYGAATCGTGACCAACTGCTACAAAACAAGTGTGCAGAAGGTACTCGTCCTGCAAGAATAGGTTCAGAACGTGAATAAACTCAACTTCAAACTCAACTTCAAACTTTTGAGGTTTAATACTCATTCAGCAGTAAAGTATTAAAGCACCTACCACTTTGAGGTCGGGGTAAGTGGCCTCCACTGAAATGTACTCCATGTATCTGGCGAATCCTTCATTCAACCAGATGTCGTTCCACCACTCCATGGTCACCAAGTTACCAAACCACTGTGAGGAATACAATGAATTTCAGCACTCAACTGAAAAGTGGTTCTGAGGTAGCTCTAATGTGTCTTCAGTGGTGAGATTCACCTGATGAGCCAGCTCATGCCCGATMACCATTGTAACCCAGAGTTTATCAGAAACCGAAGATGTGGCGGGGTCAAAGAGAAGGCTGGTCTCTCTGTAGGTGGTCAGCCCCCAGTTCTCCATTGCTCCAGACTGGAAGTCTGGGATGGCAATCAGGTCTGAAAGAGAKAGGACACAGGTCAGAGAGTAACCACATTAAACACCAGACTCAAGCAAAGATGATTTAAAAATCTTACCTTGTTTGGGTAACGGGTAGCGAATGTTGAAAAACTCTTCATAGAAGTCCAGCATTTTGATGGCAACCTCCAAGGCGTAGTGGGTCTGTAGCCACTTCTCAGGTGCAGCATAGATGGACACCTACGGAGCATTATGAGACAAACCATTAAAGCAGAATTCATGGCCAAGGAAGCAACAGTTCAAGCAGGAAATGAAAACATGGCATGGAGAAACCACACCTTCACTCCAGATGATGTTGTTCCACTGACAAACTTGAAGTCACAAATGACAAATGCCACAAGATACGTGCTCATTTTCACACTCGCCGCAAACTCATCCTCCAGMAGGTCATCTTTGATTTCAACCGTCTTGACCTGAAACACAAAGCTGAAGTCTTTTTCTCTCCCCAGTACACACTGTCACAGTGTCCCACAAAGTCCCACAAAGCAAATGTTCAACACTTACGACGGGCATGTTAGAAAGAGAAATGTACTCTGGACTCCTCCTGATTCGCACGGAGAAATTGGCTTTGAAACTTGGCTCATCGAAACACGGAAAAGCCATCCGAGCACTCGTGGGTTCAAAGTGAGTTGAAGCCAAGGTTCTGAAACAGACGTTGGTGGAAACTGTTGTAGAAAATACTTGTGTGTTGGATCATTTGCCAAGTGTGCACTGAAACAGAAAGCCTACCTGGTCTCCCCTTTACTGGTTCTGTAGGTGCTTATATAGAATCCATAAAACCCCTCGGTCAGCTGTGCCTCAAACTCAACATACAAGAAATACTTCTGCCCACTGCTGAGGACCCTGGGGGAGAATATACCAATCTGCTCATGGGAGGGGTTATGAAGAACGGGAAGAACCTAAAACAGGAGGACACTGTTGTTTTTGTGCACCAATGAAAAACAAGCTGATCTGCAGAGTCCACAACTACCTGATCTGATAGATGAGCAAGGTTATGGTCTAAAATTGTAGCGTTGGAGATCTGGAGGCCCTTGCTGTGTAATACAACCCAGTTTGTATTGTTCAGGACATCAATCTGGATCTGCACGGTGCCCATGAAACGGAGAGTGGTGAGGTTGGGGTGCAGGAGGAGGTGGTAGTGAAGAGGAATGATGTACCTGAGAAACGGAAACACACATATACGTAAGGCTACCCTGCAGTTGTCTTTGATTGAGCTTCCATACTGTGCAGCGTACCTTGGCAGGCGGAGACGACTCCATGGGAAGGACAGACTATCTTGGCTCGGAGAAGATTGTTCTCCTGCAGAATGAGGAGGACTGGACACCTGCTGTGAACTCTGGGAGGGCTGAGACTCCACCAGCGAAACAACTAGCAAAAACACTAGACAGCTTACTGAGGTCATTGCAAAAAGAAATACCTACTGGCTAATGATTAAAAAGGAACATCAACCTGTGTTGCAGGCTGACTAAAAACTTTTGATCACAGCCCCCAAAACTGAAACAGTTAGGACCACCTGACTTCAGTGATGAACATTAAGGTGACAACTTCTCAGGATTTTTTCTTTAACCTGGAAGACACAAACAAGTGAACACATGAGCTCCTTGGAAAACAGGAAATTGTTTCAGTGGATTAAAGTGAATGACTTGCATTACTTCTCAAACAAACAGCATATGAGGGATTTTGTTAGTAATATCTTTGAGCTATCTTGGCTTATTTGGTAAGTGTTCATACCATATACAATTATTGTGAAAGCATCAAAATGAAACCATTGGTAATTTTGTTTTCTCCGGCCATGTTCGGCTTTTGACCTTGAGGTTTTTGTTGTAAAATTTGGAAAGACGAATGATACAAGCGATTACCAACTAAACTGCCTTAAAATCAGCTCCCAAAGTAAAAGAAATTTGAACTTTTCTCTATTCTACAACTAAGCAGCCAATAATAACTGAGCAGTACTGACCACATGTGACAAACTGAGCTCAGCTGAAAAGTGACCACAAAGCATCTCCTCCTGAAGGAGACTCAAACATGTGACTAAAACCCTGATGATACACCATGTGGACAGAGGAAGAGGCTAGAAGAATGAGCTGACAACAGCTGCACTTCAGATCCGACTGCACGGCTCTAATTATTAATGGCCGAACTGTCACTGAGGAGACAAAGCAGGACCTCAGAAACTCTGGGCTCACAAGAACCAAACGATATTTAGGAGGGCTGCTGCTCTAAAACAATCTCTGTGTTGATTCAAAAGTTTAACAAAAACAGACATTACCTGCATTATTTCAGCTTCATCATGCTTCCTTAATGTCTGAACTGCTGGGTTTCACTTTCTCTTTTAGGATGATGCCACCCACTGGAGAGGAATAAACTGCTTGTGCAGTGTGTGTGTGTGTGTGTGTGTGTGTGTGTGTGTGTGTGTGTG